TTGCTGCTCCTCAAATTCCATGCATAAGTTTCAAGGTTAAGATCCTCAGATAGCCCAGATTAATCAGGAAAGGTGTCATGGCCTTCATTCATCCCACCGTAGTCACCCCAATAGGCTTATTGTCTAAAATCTTGAGCTTCCCTAAAACTCACAGGAGTCAGCTCTCAGGACAATCTCTGAGGTATTGGAGGCACCCATCAGAGATCTTGTCTCACTTCTGGAGTCCTCTGTACAGAAGAACCCTTCCATTCTCAGAGAAAGCTCTCTGAATTCCTCTCCACTGCAACCATTTCACCTCCCACCCTCACCTTCACCAAAGACCTCAAGGAAAGCCTCTCAAAATCTTTGTCCCCAGCCGGCCTTAGAAACACAAGTGGACCAAGGCTTTCCTGTAACATAGGTGATGCTATGGACTGAATTGTATCCCCTCAAATTTGTAAGTTGAGGCCTTCACCCCCAATATAGCTGTATTTGGAGATGGGACCTATAAGGAAGTAAGAAAGGTTAAATGAGGTTATGATGGTGGAGCCCTGTTCTGATGGGATTTGTGTCCTTATGAAAAGAGACACCAGAAAGCAGAGCACCCCTCTTTCCATTCCCCCCAACCCCACCATATGTGGACGCAGAGAGAAGGCAGCTCTGTCAGAAGAACTCCGAAGGCTGGGAATTAGGTTAGAAAGAGGCTGGGGACAAACCAGGTTGAGGAGTGAAATTTCATCCTGGAAGAGATGAAGAGCCATCCACTTGATCTATAAAAAGGGTTACTAATTACAGTTACAGAATTACCACTTTTGGTGAGTTAATGAACTCATAAATGTCATTAATGGACCGGGTTATGCCTTGATACAGCTGTCCCTTAATACTGAAAGAATAAAAGTCTTTGAAATGTTTGTATTCATTTTAAGTAGTCCTACTTTTCAGTGATTTCAATTTTATCAACTAAAGTGAGTGTGACCTGATTATTACTGTCCTCCAAGTGACTAAAACTCTAAGATAGCTATCTGGTTGTTTCAGCTGTACTGTGTAATTGAGAAGATTGCTAAACCTACTGACTATATGACAGTTATACTGAGCTTCCATTTTCAGCTTCTACAAAATAAAAGTTATAGAAATCAATTCCAGAAATATAGTAATAAAGCATATTGAAGATATTTTTTTATTTGTATTGCAAAATTCTAGATGCAGTGTGAAGACTGAATACTAACTCGATGTATTAATAATTATCTTGAACTTTCCAGTTATGTTATAGCATGTACCTGTCCATCATGAGTATATTAGTCTAAATAGTAATAAAAAGCAATGTATTTTTATAATTTAGAGAAGAATCTTCATAGGCAGTTGTAACATAAATATGACTTGGACATAAATTAAAATTGCTTTTATTTTTCCTATGTAAATTATAATTGTATATGAGTTTGCTGAAAATGTATTTAAAATATGAGCTTCAGTTTGAATATAGTTAGAACTGGATGCCTTGTGTAATAAAATTAACTTTAAATCATGAGACATCATAGTTATTCTTAAATGCCTTTATTTTAATACCTGATTCCCCAAACTACAAAGTTGGTTGGAAGTC